ACCACTGTCAGCGCTGCCCTTTATCTGTCATCTGACTTCGAAGCTCCCCACACCGCTGATCCCCACTGCTCAGAACAGGGCTCGGCCGGAAAATCTGCCATCTCACCGCCCTGCCTTTCCCAAGCACAGCCCTTACCGGACTCCCACCCACCTCAGCGGGGCGACAGACGCATTAAACACAGCACTTCGCTCGGTACTTCACGCTCCTTAGGCGCAGTCCAGATTCTCTCCTCCCACTCCGAGTCTCCTTCGCTATCCCCACCGGCACAGGAACAAGAAGGAATCAGATGAATGAACCACACGCATTCACCGAGTTATCTGTAAGCCGCTCTGGTTTGCCGGCGCACAGCTGGGGATGGGCGCAAGGAGCGGCGGTTCTCAGGCAGGTATAACTCTAACGGCCCCTCACACCGGCTCCAGCCCTCCAGCCCTCCCGCGGCCCCCCGCGCGGCTCCCCCCGCCGAACCCCGCACTGCGGCCGGCGCTCCGAGGGGGAGGGCAGACCTCGCCTAAGCGCTGAGGGCATTCCCTCACAGGAGGCCCCGCGCCTCTGCGCTTGCCCAGGGGAGTGAGCCCTGAGCTCAGGACCGGAGGAGGAGAATGGAGGGAGAAGGATGGGAGGAACGAGGTCGGAACGAGGTCGCCCCGAAGCGGGCCAGCGCCCGCCCGTGCGCCAGCAGCGCAACCCCCGCCGCGCCCACAGCCCCTCACCTGCCCGCCGCTCCTGCCGCCGCGCCTGCACGCCCGCGCCGCGCGCCCCCATTGGCCACGCGCTCACCCTTCCCCGCCAGCCCATTGGTCGAGCCGTCGCGCTTACTGACCCTATGCCTTCCATTGGTTGAACTGCCGAGCTAGATCCCGCCCCTCCAGCACGTCTCGCGACAACAACTTTATTGAGGCGCTAGGAGGCGGACACTGACAGCGCGCCGTTACGGGCGGGGTGGGGGAGCTCTGCCTGTGGAGCCGCGGGTTCGAGGCTGTCTCCCGCCGCTTCCCGAACTGAGAAATGGCCCGAGGGGCGCGGGGGGTCGTGAGTCAGTGACGGCGCTCCGGGCGCGAAAACACTAAAAGCACGAAAGGATGAAGCGACACTTGTGCAAACTCCCATGAGTTTGGCTCTTTGCTGCCCTGAAGCCCCCCACGCCCACTTGTCCCCAACCCTCCCTTGTGTCCGTTCTGCCACATCTAGGACATGAAGGACCTTCACTCGCACAAAGCAAAAATGGACTTCAATTATAAACGGCCTTGAGGGGACCCCGGACCGATCCCCCTTTCAGCTTCAGCCCCCCTTCCCATTTGCAGATGCAGGCAGAGCGAGGCACGGCCCCCAAAGCACACCCTCCCCCCCAAAGCACACCCCAGGAACTGCTTGAGCTTCAGCCCAGGGCACAGCTGGTAAGGAGCCAAGGCATTAATTTACAAGGCAAACGCGTGCTGAGCAGGACAGCACCTTGTCCATAGCCAGCACCCCTCAATGAGGGGTCCAGGGGCTCAGGGCCACCCACCCCACACGGCTCCCAGACCCCAACAACGGGCTGAGCCATCCCCACCACAGGGGACGGTGCGATGGCAGCAGGATGCACAGCAGACATGCGTGGGCAGGCCGGGGCCCTGCGGCACAGGTAGGGCCAACTTTCACTTGGCAGGTGTTTTCGGAAGGAAAAGAGCAGCCAGGCGCCTTCCCACACCTCCAGCACCCCCACCTTGTCTGACCCCCCAGGGCAGGAGCCAGCCGAGCTGTGCTCACACCTGCCACAACGTGGCATCCTGAGCCCCCCGCTCACCAGGGGCTGTGACACAGCACCCAGAGTGCCCCAACTCCCCCCCTGACATCACTCTGTCCCCTCAAACCACTGCCCCCAGGGGGTTTGGTGCAGCCCCCAGCACCGGTCCTCCCAAACAGGTGTCACAAGCAGCATCAGGGCTCAGTTTCAGCCAAACTCATTTATTTCCTCCATCGGTATGGACGGTACAAAGCATGTAAAAATAAGCTTTCTCGTGGTCCCCATTACCCCCACCCTGTCCCCAAAGCATGGTGGCTATTTACAGGCAAGGTAGGCAGCTCAGTGGCAGCAGCTGCACTTGCTGCTGGCCGGCTCCTTGCACACACAGCCCTTGGCACAGTTGTTGCAGCCGGCAGGGCAGCAGGAGCAGCAGCCTGGGGAGAGAACGCAAGAGTTAGGGGGTGGGAAGGATGGGAATGGAGATATGTATACGGGGAAGGATCAGGGGACATCATGGGAATGGAGCAGGGCTGTGGTTCCAATGGGGTCAGGAGGGTCCATGGGGGTCCTGTGTGTTGGAGATTCTCCCCTTCTCTCTTCATAGGGGAGGAGGGAGGCGGAGTTCCCAGGGAGAAGGTAGGAATCACCATGGGGGCTCTATGGTGCACAGGGAGGAGTGCCACAGGATAGGCACCTTCAGGGAGAGTGGGGAGGGGGGGAAATATGTGCATGGGGGGTCCTGCAGGAGCAAGTAGACAAGGGAAATGGGGGCTGTCCATAGGAAGACCTACAGAGCAAGTCAGGGGCAGGAAGGTGGATACAGGGAGTCCTACAGGAGCAAGTTGGGGGGGGACTGTCCATAGGGAGTCCAACATGAGTAAGTCGGGGACAGGGGTGTCCATAGGGGGGTCCTACCAGAGTAAGTCAGGAGCAAGGAGGGGGTGTTCGTTGGAGTTCCTAAAGGAGCAAGTGGAGGTAGGGGGGCTGTTCATAAGGAGTTCTACAGGAGCACATCAGAGGTGGTGAGGGGGTGTCTGAGGGGGTGTCCATGGGGGTTCCTACAGGAGCAAGTGGAGGAGGTCCAACAGGAGCAGGGGGAACGGTGCTTCTCTCGAGAAGGAGGAGTGAGGGAGGTCTCCATGAGAGTCCCAAAGGGGAAGGACAGAGGACCACAGGGCAGGGACCCCCAAAGCACCCGTGGGTCAGGGATCCCCGCAGCCCCCAACTCACTCTTACGGCAGCTCCTGCAGCGGCAGTTCTTGCACTTGCACGACCCAGCGCAGGAGCAGGAGTCACCTGGGACAGGAAAGAAGCCGTCAGCGACACGAGCCGGGCCGAACGGAGCCAGACCGCGTCCCGTCGCGTCCACTTACCAGCAGCACAGGTGCAGTCCTGAGGGTCCATGGTTCGGTTCGGTTCGGTTCCGTTCGGTTCCGCTGGGCTCAGACGGGCTCAATTCGGATGGGCTCGCAGCAGTCCCAAGCTCCGCTGCCCGCCCTGTATTTATAGTGCCGGGGTGGTGCTGCGCGCAGCGCACGGCGGGGCGGTGCCGAGCCGTGCCGTGCTGAGCGCCGTGCCGTGCCGAGCTTTGGGGCCGGGCCGTGCCGTGCTCAGCGGGGCGGAGCAGCGCCGTGCCGTGCTCAGCAGGGTCACGGCCGTGCCTCCACCCCCCCCCTCCCGCCTGGGCAGCCCTGGCTGTTGGTGTCCCCCAAACCAAGGTGTTCAGCTGTGGGATGGCCATGCGTACCCACAGATTGAGTTTTGCTTTTACTCTCCCTTCCTTCTCCCCCCCCATCCCAAACACCGCTCTTTGCCGGAATACAGCACGGCCCCACGTGCCCGCCCTCCTCTCTTCCCCTCATCCCGCTTTTGCTGCCGAAAGGGCGAATTGGGGGGGGGAGGGGGACTGGGGGAAGAGGGGAATTTCCCGGCCACTGCTCTGCGCTCGGCTACGGCAATGTGACTCGGCGGGGCCGTTGCGCCACTGCTGCCCCCCCGCCCCCCGCCCCGGGCAGCGCTGCGGGGCGGTGCGCACGGCGTCGGGCCGTGCTGAGAGCCGGGAGTCGCGCGGTTACAGCAAAACAGCCCATCGGGGGCGTCGCACCCCATTGTGGACACCACATCCCACTGCAGTCACTGTATGGCATCGTAGGCGTCCCGTGGGTTATTATGAGCACCACATCCCGTTCTGGGCATCGCACCCCATCAGAGGAGGGCTGCAGCACCTCCCCTACGAATACAGGCTGGGGGAGCTGGGCTTATTCAGCCTGGAGAAAAGAAGGCTGCAGGGTGACCCCATTGCAGCCTTCAGTACCTAAAGGGAGCCTACAAACAGGAGGGGAGGCAACTCTGTGAAAGGGGAGATGACAGCAGGACAAGGGGAGATGGTTTGAAGTTGAGGGAGGGAAGATTTAGGTTGGATGTCAGGGGGAAGTTCTGTACTATGAGAGTGGTGAGGTGCTGGAACAGCTGCCCAGCGAGGCTGTGGATGCCCCGTCCATCCCTGGAAGTATTCAAGGCCAGGTTGGATGGGGCCCTAGGCAGCCTGGGCTGCTATGAAACGTGGAGGTTGGTGGTCCTGCATGTGGCAGGGGGTTGGAGCTTCATCATCCTTGAGGTCCCTTCCAACCCTGGCCATTCCGTAATCCCTTTATAGACACTGGACCCCCACTGTGGGTTTCCCAACCTAATGTAGGCATCACACCCCATTCTGGGCATGGCATACTGGTGAGGGCATTGCATCTCATCACAGGCCCTGCACCCCGACATGGTCTTCGCACCTTGACACGGGCATTGCAGCCGATGGTGGGCATCACATCCCTTTGGACCACTGCACCCCAATACTGGCATTGCAGTCCATGCAACTGCAGCCACCCCATCCCCTGCGGGCTGGCGGCTCTGCCAGTCCCACCCACTGCCAGGAGGAAAACAAACTGGTTCTCTGGTGCCCCACCTGCTGCCCGAACGTTACCGCTGGAAATGGGCATGGCCCTTATTACCACGCTGTTGACAAATGCTCATAATAACGAGCTGCTCATTAGCCCTGAGGATTTCTGGTGGAGGAGAGAGCCTGGGATTTGCCCTTGGGTATCAATTGAGAGGAGAAAAAAAAAATCCTAGAGAATTAACTTGTGAAGGGAAAGTGTTAAACCCAGAGAGCTGGGGAGGCTGAGAAGAAGCCAGGCCTGTGACGGGTGCCAGCCTGGGCTGTTCCCCAGGCACTGTGCCATGCCCCCCCAACTCAGTGCCCCCCGACCCCAGGGAGCAGAGGCGCAGTTATATACACACAGCTTTATTCAGGCAGCTCATGGCACACCACATGTGCTGAACACTGACACGATCCGAACACACATATAAAAAAACACATACTATAAGGTTAGTTTTCCTTGTCGTGGCGGGGGGGGGGGGTCGCTACTTGCAGCAGCTGCACTTGGCAGAGGGGGGCCCTTTGCAGACACAGCCCTGTGCACACTTGGCACATCCTGCAGGGCAGCAGGAGCAGCAGCCTGGGGAGAAAAGAGACACATTTTGGGGTGAGGGAATGATCTGGGATGCTGGGTTCCCATCACCCCCCTCCCCGCACTGATGCTGTGATGGCTGGGCATCATCCCCAGCCTCATTTGGCAATGTCTCCTCCCTCCTTGGGTACCTCTCCCAGGCACCCTCACCCATGCAGACCCCCAAGCACCCTCCCACCCACTCTGAGTGTGTCTGGAGCAGACAGAAGGCAAGCAAAGAGCATCGCAGTGTTGGTTCCCCCCTGCCTGGCATCAATGAGTGCTGAGCCTCGGGAATATCTGGACTTGGGGTTATGCTTATCACAGAGTCAACCTCCCATCCTCTGAGGACCGAAAGAAAAAGAGAATGAGCAAAGTGATATCTGGGAAAGGGATTCCTGAGCCTGATTTGATGTGATGTGAGTGGAGATGCGTAGTGGAAAAAAAAAACCAACACTGAGTGTTTCTGATCTCCAAGGGGGATGGGAGCTGCCTCACCTTTTTTGCACGATGTGCATTTGCAGTTTTTACATTTGCAGTTGTCTCCGCACGTGCAGGTGCCGCCTGAAAGCGAGAGGAAATGAGGATAAAAGGGGAAAAAAGGCCGAGCTCCCCCACCCCAGGCGTCCCCGCTGCAGCAGCAGCCCGCAGCCCCGCAGGGATGCTGCAGCCCCGGCAGGGCTTACCGGTGGCACACGGGCAGTCCTGGGAGTCCATGACGCGGCTGCTGGACGTCAGTGCAGAGGCTGGAGCTTCACGCTGCCCGAGCCGCCGCTATTTATCCACGGCGGGAGAGAGGAGTGCAAAACCTCCGCCCCCCTCCCGCTCGCAGCCTGCGCACGGCTCTGCCCGCTGCCGCCCCGGGCGCTGCTGATTCACCGCTCCCGTCCCTGTGGGTGACGATGCGTTGGGTCACCGCCACCCCGGGACGGACGGGCGGATGGACGGATACACAGATATACACGCATCGGCGTGCTTGCAGAGAACGGGCAGCTCATCACACCGCCGTCCCGTCCCCGCCCTGAACCTCCTATGCTAAAACTGCGGGGCGTTTGGAGGAGGACGTGAGCCCGGCACACCGGCACAGCCCCCTCCCCCATGACCGCCCCACGTCCCCACCGCCCTCACTGCCAGCGGCCGCACCGACGGACCCGACCGGCCCTGCCGGAGCCCGCAGCCCTCCGGCACCCCGCCGTCGTGCCCCCACTCTACCCCCCCTCCCGCTCCGATTAATTTCCGCACACAATTAGCAGGGAGGAGGGTAGCGGGGAGTCGCGGCGCTGCCATCGGTTTGGCCAACTTTGCCGGCAGCTTCGCACGCCCACTCGAAAGAGCCGCGGGGACGCGGGTTGGGAGGTGCCGAAGGGATGATGTCTGTGTTCTGTTTTCTTTGTGAAACGAAAGCAATTCGGCGTGCAGGGAGGTACTGCCTCGTGGCCAGAAGGCTTTGCCAGCCGTGGAGCATCCTCCCACACACGATGTGCTGCGTGCAGCCCCTTTTTGCCCCCATCCCCAAAAGCCCCTACTGCTGCTCCAGGCCCCGGTGTTTTCCCCTCCAAACATCCCATTCCCTGGAGCATGGCTAATGCGCATCCCTGAGACCACCACACACGGCACCAGCACCCAGCATCGCCTGCACTTTGAGGGTGACAGATGTGAGCCATGAGGCTGAGGATGTGCCCGTGCCGCAGCCCTCAGTGGCCATGCTGGGAACTTGCCGTGCTTTGGGGTTTTATCCAGGCTCGGCTCTTGGCTGCAGAGCCTTGCTGCTGCATTGGAGGCAACGCTAATCCAGCTAAACCGCGGGACCAGGAGTGTTTTACCACCCATCTGCCTGGGCACGTTGGGAGCTGGTTGGGTGACCAAGCAGGGAATGGTGCCAGCAGCTGAGCCAGGCGCTGGTGGGAAATGTGCAGAAAGCCCACAGGAGGCAGAGCCCACGGGTTTGCACTTCGTCCCAACCACCCAGCTGTGCACCACCGTTGGGCAGATGCTTGTCCCCATGTCCCCACCGCACATGACAAGCCAATGAGGTGCCAAATCACAGTGCAAAACTGGGACCCATGTGCCAAGGCTGCTTGTGTGGGATGCTTGGATGCAGCCCCAGCCGTGCCCCAAGCACCTCCTGGGGGAGCAGTGCTGGAATAGCCTCAGGTGATGCTCTCCAGCCGTCACATGAGTGTCATGCTGCTGTGTCACCGCAGTCAGGCTTTGTGTCCTGCAGGGTGATCACAACTGCTCAGGAAAACACAGCCATGCCCAGGAACACGTGCATGACTGGCACTCATCACCTGCATCACCCCAAGTGCCAGGGCTGTCAGCACCTGCCTGCTGTGCAGGGATGTCATTGGGAAGCTCTGTGAGCTGGTGGCATCTCCTGGAGGAGTGCGGAGGTGGGAGCTAGCATGTGACTCTGTTTCTTCCTGTCTGCTCCCAGCTTGGCCACAAGCCCTATCCCTGCTTTGCATGAGGGAAGGGAGGGGAAATCCCAGTCCCAGAGAGCAGCAGCGGAGCCGTGCAGGTGCTCTGCAAGCTGGTGTCACCGTCCCCATGATGTGCACCTGTGTCACCTGGCAGCAGGTGGCTCTGACTGGTGGGAAGGTGACACGGTGGGCAGGTGATCATCCAGCAGCAGGTGATGTTCTGGGATGTGCTGCAGGTGACAACCACTGTGTGCCAGGTCCTGCTGGAGGACCTGCTGCTGGAGGACCTTCCTGTGTCCCACGGTGTCACCTGGTACAGTGAGGGGCTCCTCTAGCCAAGTGCCACAGCTCAGAGTGGTGGGAACCGTGGGCTGGGCAATGGAAGTGGGGAGGGCATGGCACGGAGGACCCTGGGAGCATCCCAGTGCTCAGAGAAACCAAGGGGCACGAGCACCCCCAGCCAACACACCCTACCCACCAAGCAGTGCAGGCTGGCAGACCTGCTTTTTGCAGGGATCACGTCGCTGTTCAGAGGCGACAAAGCGCCGTGCAGGGAAAGGAAGGGAAATAAGTGCTGACGCTGTGCCGTGTTGCTGGCAGGGGGTGAATCAGCCCCGAACGTGCTGAGCATCTGAGGCCGATTGAGGTGGCATCGTGCAGCACGGACGGCCCATCGGTGCCCGGCTGCAGGCAGGGCGCGGTGCGGGCTGTGCCTTCCTCGATGCGGGGAGCGCAGCCCTCGGGGGGCTCTGCGGGGCTCCCACCCGCTGCCCAAGGGGCGGCTCCGTGCGGGTTTTCATTAAGGACGAATTGCACGACGTGCAGGAACGTGACGCTTTCCCAACTCCGCAGCGGGCTTTGATGTGGGCTGCTGCCATCCGCGTTGCAAGGCGCGGGGCCGTGACTCAAAGCGCCCGACGGCTCCTTTCCACTCGCAGCCTGTTTGTTATCTGCGGGACCTCTCCCTCGGAAAAAAACAAAACACAAAACAAACCACGTAGGGTGGGCAGCGATTTGCTAATGAGTTGTTCGTAACGAACAAACGGAGCTGCACCACGCGCTGGTGCGGCCCTGCACCCCCCGCTGGTGTGGCCCTGCACCCCCCGTGTGCCCCGAGTGTCGCCCCCGGCGCTCCGGTGGGTTTCGGGGCGGGCGGTGTCCGCTCGGGCGCGCCCAGAGATGAAAGGGCCGCTCCGTCTCATCCCGAAACTCTCATAAATGTGAATGGAGATTACTTCAAGGTGTAACGAGGGCAGAATTGCGGCCCCTCAGGGCAGCGAGGGGCGAGGACTGAGAAATAAAGGGACCCGTGAGAGCCGAGCTGCTCGCGCAGTGCTGCCGGCAGGACCGCGTTGTGCCCTGCTTCGTTCGGCGGCTTTGGGAGTCTCGGCATCACCGTAACTCATCGCCGTGACGGTGGCACTGCGACGCCCTACCCGTGTACAGCCCGGATTTTCTTTTTTCCCTTCCTTTCATGTCTTTCGGGTTCCCACAGACTTCAAACTCACCTGCACCAACAGCGAGCCGCCTCCCCTGCTGGAACGTGACCTGAAGTTTCCAAGTATCGTTACCTTGGGCATATTTCTTTCTTCTTCTTTTTTTTTTTTTTTTTTTTTTTTTTCCCCTTTCCCACTTGCTAATTTTCGGAATTAGAAGCCAAGGCAGAGCGGTGAGCAGCGCCGCGGGACACTGAGCAGACACTTGTCTGAGCTTGCACAACACCAAGTCCTCAGTGTGAGCACGGGGAATAAAAGGATGTGATGCTCTTCTCGATGTCTTCACAGCCAGAAACCGTGCAAGCAGTGGCCCTGGTCTGATGTCTGCAGAAACAGCTCACATCTGCTGGGTTTGGGGAGTTAGTGGCTCTCCCATCCCCAATCCCTCAACTCTATTCCCAACCCCTATTTCCATTCCCAGTCCCCATCCTCAATCCCTACTCTCCATCCCCAATCCCTATCCCTCAATCCCCAATCCCTCTCTCCATCCCCAACCCCCATTCTCAATCTCCACCCCTCAATCCCCCACCCCAACTCCCATCCCCACCCCCACCCCTTACCTCCCTTATACGACTTCTGACGTTGATTTTTGCCAGCATCTCCCCCAGCCACCCACTGCTCACTATCTGAGCAGGTTTAACACATTGCCAGGGCGCATCAGGCAAGAGGCTTCGGTCAGACAGGGACACGGTGGATTTCGAGCTATTTTTGAAGCCTTTGCCAGCAGTCAGCTCCTGGGTGGGCAGCGATGCTTGCCGTGCTGCTGCAGCCAGCTCCTTGCACTGCCTTTGCCTACTGAGCCAGCAAACCATGCCAGCTGTGTTTTGGGCAGGCTGAGCTCCCCCAGGAGAGCCGGATCCCTGGAACCGATGGGTGCTGGCTGAGAACACAGCAGAGGAGGCTCTTGTCTCTGTACAACTCACCAAGATTTTATTTTAAATAAACGAGCTGTATGTTTTGAAGGGACTGCTCTGCTGTCTGCAGCCATGCTTTGGAAGCTAGGGGAAATGAATGCTGAAATGGCCCCCGTGGCACCGTGCTCCCAGCAGTTCTGCCACCAGGCCCTTCCTGATGCTGGGAAGGATGGACGCGATGCAGCCCAACACACAGCAGGGAGGCAGCAGGGCTGTGGGCGGCCCTTCCCATCCAGCTGTACGGCACACAGATGTCCTTGGCTTTCCTCTCTCATGTCTTGGCTGAAGACATGGGCCTGCTGCTGTTTCTGGTGTCAGAGCTGTTCCTTACAGGCAGCTCAGCGGGAAGCAGATGGTACAGATGATGGTGTGACTGCTCCACTGCCCCCCACATCCCTAACTGCTCCCCCAGCTGCCCTCCAGGCCCCTAATTACCTCAACAGCCCCCTACATCCCGACCCCCTAGCTGCTCCCCAAACCCTTAATTGATCCCCCAACTGCTCTCCAAACTCCCAATCAGCCCCCAGCTGACCCCAAACTCCTAACTGTTCCCCTAGCTGCCCCACAACCCCTAATTACCTCCTAACTACCCCCGTATTTGTCCCCCATGTCCCCTAACTGATCCCCAAATACATAACTGACACCCTAGCTACCACATAAGCTCCTAATCACCTCCTCAATTGCTCCCCTAGCTGCCCCCCAAACCCCTAATTACTCCCTAATTACCCCTTGTGACCCCTAATTGACCCCCAAACCCCCCAACTGACCCCTTAGCTGCCCCCCAAACCCTAATTACTCTCCTAATCACTCTCCTAATTACTCCCCTAATTCCCCCCACCTCCCCTGACCCCCAAACCTCCCAACCACCCCTCTAGTGCCCCCCAACCCTAATCACTCCCTAATTAACCCCGACCTCCCCTAACTGATCCCC